TGATACACTGCCACCATGCTCCACCCAGAACCCTGATACACTGCCACAATGCTCCACCCAGGACCCTGATATGCTGACACCATGCCCCACCCACCACCACCACGCTTTACCTTGATCACTATCTTGCAACAGGAATTTTATGTGTATTCAAAAGTTAATCCACCTCCATCTATCACACATAATGTACAGCTGTTCTTAAGACACACTTTGGGGTCATCATCATATTTGAAGATAATTTTAAATTCAGTGATTATCACTTTTTTCATCCCAGAATTAGCACACATAACTTCAATACACTGCTCTCCTCATTACCACTTTGAGTTGTGTATCATCAATATCTGGAACTAAGATGTAAGTCCTGAGAACTTGGAATGACGATAGTTATATTTTGTCTCACTTGTAGCAAAAGTCATCTTGTGTTTCTTTCCGTCTGAGTCAGAAATAGGCTTCAGTGTATGTCCAGAAGTTTCATGTGCACTAACAGAGAAGTTCAAATCAGTTACTCACAGATTGAGTTGAACTTCATTTTCTGACAAGTCTGCCAACAAAATGCACAAAACTTTTTTCCTTTAAAATCTTTAAAGACCTCTTTTTGTTTTTACTTTGCTTATTAAATGTGAAACATGAACTGATGCAATGTTGGGACATTTTGTATTCAATAACCGGCAGCTAAAATGTGTGTAAGCTACGTTTTACAGAGGTAGTGACTTTGTTGTTAATGTGACAGATCCGGTTTCTTTGGGACTGTGATAGAGTACGGCGCTGAGAGAAAGATCAGTCGGCACAGTGTGGTGGGGGCCACCGTCAGTGTGGGAGTGCCCCAAGGTGTCTCCCTAAAGATCAAGTAAGTTCAGATCCTTGCTCCAGTTTCTTTTGTTCTGTTTCCAGAGTTTTTTTTTTCTTTTCTACAATGCTGTTGCCATGGCATCTGCACAAGTTACAATGTAATTATGCCAGCCGAATACTTCTGTTTCTTTTTACAAATATGGTCTAAACTGCGAGTTTTTACAAATATATATATACTGTATTTTCCGCCGTAAACGTCGCACCGCCCTATAAATCACATCAGTCCAAATATGTCTGATAAATTGTAAAAATCCATAAATACGTTGCATCAACACCACTGACAACCCGTAAATGTGGGCCAGTGTTGTGCCAAAAATTGATTGGCTGCCAAATGGCAGCCGTGGGAGCTTGCACGGGAGGACTTTTAGAATTTAACAAGATTAACACTTAAAAACAATTGTTTGTTTGTTCGACTGTATAGCAAAGGTGTGTCTCGAACTTTTACTTAATAAATGCACTTTAATGGTCATATTAACTGCATTTCGCCAGGGCGGCGCAGCGAAATGAAGCTGAACAAGCGAGCTGGACAAAGGTGGCAGTCTGTGGCAAGCCGATTGTGTCATTAATAGCCATTTTTACCAATTACATGAGACAACGGCATGCCACACTATTCGACTGCCATCTAGCGGGTGAAAATGGTAGTGTTCAATATTTTCAGTCAGAATGAATGCAAACGGTCATATCTCAGCCAGGGCTTTAACAGACTACTCGAGTCATCTACACATCGATTTCTAGGACATCTTTCGAGTTTTTAAATTTCACGTCGAGTATTCGTGGTGATGTCATTATGTCACCGTTACGTCATTGCGCCACGTGATCCGCACCGGGCGCGGGTTACAAAATGGATTCCTCCAAACAGACAGATGGAGCGGAGCAGGCCCAGTCTTGGCAAACAGGTAGAAATGCATCAATAGTCTGGAAATATTTCACTAAAGATGAATCTTCCGGTTCAACTACTGTAAGGAAACAGAAAATTATTCAACTTCCTGACTGTTTGAAGCTCGTTGCGAACCGGTGTTACACCATATTCTGTGACCACCGTATATTGTGACCGTAGTGGGCGGTGTTGCATGCACTGTTGCAGGTCACAGAATATGGTGTAACACCAGGTCCAATGACCGAACCAGAACCAGCTTCCTCTGACCTTGTTTCACAAACAAAATGCAAAATATATTAATCTCTAAACCTATAAAAAAAATCTATAAACATATTAATCTCTAAACCTAAACTTAATGTGCATCACTGCGGGCGGTGGTGCTGGGTGGTCGACTGCCCCACTTTTTTTAGTTTTGTTTTTTTATTTATTGCATGTTTCTTTCACTTTTGCAGCTTAATAATAATAACTAATAGTTTTGTGTTTTCCTGTGACTTATTTGCAATATGATAAATGGTAGGAGCATAATATATACTCCCAATGTTTTGTTGGTCTTTTTTTGTAAATAATTAACTTTTTTGTGGTTTTATTTATTTTTGTATCTTTAGATCCTATGACTTAATCAACTACTCGAGTTCTACTCGAGTTTTATTATGTTAATGTCGAGTTTAAAAATTATGTAGTCGTTCAACCCCTCATCTCAGCCAAAAATTGGTTTATAAATATGGGGGGAAATCCATAAATACGTGGCTTCGGCAAATAAGTCGCAGGGCTTGTAAATTATGAAAAAAATGTGACTTATAGGGTGAAAAATACAGAAGTATTTGTATAACGATGCTGCTTTTTTGAGCTATAATTTCCTGTCTCGTTAAGAATGGGACACAATTTCACTTTTTTATGTGCGAGTCCTAGAAATAAATGTAATGATGATTCTCTGTGTGCAGATTTAACAGAGCCAGCCAGACCTACTTATTTCCTATTCACCTCACTGACCAACTCCTGCCCAGTGCAGTATTTTACGCCACAGTCGGACCAGTGGTTTTCTACCTCGCCATCCAACAGCTCATTATCCGGCCCTATCTGCGGGCCCAGAAGGAACAGTAAGAAACCCTCTTTGTGTTGTTTACTTCATACAAACACTGTTACTAGAAGTGTCATATTGTGTTATTATGGTCAGATTTTATGAGCTTTTTTTATTTATCTTTTTTGTTTGTTATAACTCAACAGAGAGTTGGAGAAACACAGGGAGAGCTCGGCCTCTAATATAGCCAAGAAGAAGCAGGAGGCAGAGGCTGCTGTGCGTAATACACACTTATAGCTGTGGTGCTGTCAAACGTTACGGCTTAATGTTTGATAATAGATGTAGGTGTTTGTGTCCGACTGTCAAAAACATAAATTCTATCAACCATCAAGGTAAAGGGCTCCGATTGGATCAGATAGCATGCAAAGTACTAGCGGAAATTGATGGTATAATCCATAAAATATGAAATCTCATCGTGTGTTCGTTCCTCTCTGCGCCTCCTTTATCTCCACAGGTTTTACTCATGCAGGAGTCTGTGCGCAGGATTATTGAGGCTGAGGAGTCAAGAATGGGTAAGAACAGTAATCCTTAAGAAATGAGTTTATCCTAGAAATTCTTCTTAAGCAACTTGTAAAAATGTTGTTTTTCTCATTGCCGTTTTTTTTTTTTTTTTTTTAATTTGCATGTTTGTATAATTCTCACTTTAAAATCCTGTGACCAAGGTGATGCATAACAATTTTAGGCTTCTTCAGTCTGTTAAAACATCAGGTATTTAGATGTAGGTCTTTCTTACTTACCTCACAGACCTGTCGTCACTAACACAATGACGGGTGTGGTATTAGCTGTTGTTGTTTGAAATGTTGGTAAAACGAAAGGCCAATAATTCTTTGAAAGACGGCATTTCCATCCAACGATTATTTTCTGAGAGTTTCATTAAAATCTAAAAGTTGATTACAAAGTTTTAACAACAGATCTTTTGGGGCTCGGAAGTTGTGTTGGGAATTACTCTGTTATTACCCCACCGGATTGCAGCTCAATATTTGTCCGTCCTCTAGTTTATCAGATATTTTGCTAACGCTACAGACAAACGAACACACGCATGCACAGGCAAAAACATGATCACCTCTAGCCCTCAGCTGCAGACAATTACTGCATGTCCCACTATCAAATAAAGATCATGGGGACATGACCAGGGGTGCATTGTGGGTAAATGGCACATACAGTGATCACTGAGGAATATTCAAGGAATGACGATAGACTTTGTTGCACTTAAACTAAATTGATAGTTCCTGACAACATTAGGATCCCATGTCTACTGTTTTTAGCTTTCTTTGATGGAAAATGAACAAAACCTTCAGTTTAAATAAACTTCTTTAGTTTGTGTTGTTGAAAAGTGCTTAGAGGCTGCATGTGATGATGGTTCAAACATGGAGTAGGATGTTATTCACAGGATCGTTGTGGTTGCTTTGGAAAGAAGACACCAATAATGTGACTACATTTCAGCGCTCTGCAACTTAATGAAACATTACCAGATTCATCTTGAATAATGCCGTCAGAACATGCAAAAACACATGAGCAGCCCTTTAGGTGTGCAGTTAGATCAATGGGAATAATAAGAATGAAAGAATATTTGAAAAGTGCTGAAGTGTCATTTGTAATTTTTTTGTGGCATTGAATGATTTTGTGAACATATAGTTGCCGTTCTGGCGAAATTCAGGGGAAGTAAGTCGGGCAAAGTGCAGCATAATTGATAAAGTGCAACTTTTATGCAAATTTCACGTCTCCAGCTCGTCCAAAAGGCTCAGTTATGAACAGAAACTCGTAGGTTTGATCATATAACAACCAGTTTTATCCTCTCTTCACTGGCTCCCTGTACGTACCTGAATTGATTTTAAAATTCTCCTGCTAACCTTTAAATGTATAAATGGCTTTGCACCCCCTTATCTCTCAGGCGCTGAGCTCATCTGATCAGCTGCTTTTGGCTGTTCCAAAAACAAGACTGAAGCTCAGAGATCAGGCTTTTTCAGTGTTAGGCCCCAAACTTTGGAACAGTCTGCCCCCCCAACATCAGACAGGCCACTTCACTTCCTGTTTTTAACTCTCTGCTAAAAACTCACCTGTTTTCATTGGCTTTTAACACAGTGTAACTTGATTTAGGACTTGTATTGTTCTGTGTTTTTATGTTTTTCTTATGATGCTTTTAATTAATTTTCAGTACTATCATTACTTTTATTTTTAATTTTTCCCACTAAATTACTCTCATTGATGTTTATTGTTTAGTAAGCACTTGGTAACAGCTGCCGTTTTAAATGTGCTTTATAAATAAAGTTGACTTGATTTTTAAAAAGGTTTAAAAATAGAAGACCATAGATGGTTAGATTTGTGTTGGTCTAGTCTTTTTAGTTTGCTTTTGGTAAACTAACAGGAGTCTAACAGCAGATGGTGATGTTTCCACATGCGAGGATATGCGTGGCATCATTTGACTGAAAAACATTTCTTTGTATTTTAGTTTCAATGTTTTTGAGCGTCAGTGTCGGTTCAGACGTCTCACCAGTTAGTTTTAGTCCTTTCATGGGATTAAATACTATCTTTTAGGACTGCCTCTGCTGAGCTGAAGAACTTTGTTTTCCAGCTGCAGCTCATCGTGTGTCAGGCGAGACACGTCACCGTTGTGTTTATCATTTATTTGTAGAAAATACTTTGTTACTCACTTGAAAATGGCTTTTAAAATTGTAATTTTAACTAAATTATAATGGTTTTAAAGATTTTATGGCTTCGTGTCAGACATCATGTTGCAACGTTCGTGCTGTTTTCTCAACATCAGGTCTGATTATCCTCAACGCCTGGTACGGCAAGTTCGTGACAGACAACAGCCGAAAACACGAGAGGGCAAAGGTCATTGACGTGACGGTGCCGCTGCAATGTCTGGTGAAAGACTCAAAACTCATCCTCACTGAGGCCTCAAAGGTGAGGAGCTGCAGATACATTAATCTGAGAGCTTGAATGCAGATCAGCTAATGTCACTGTGTCCATTTGTCCTGTGTATGAATAGATTATAGTGTTCTGTCCTCTTGTCTTGCTTTTGTCTGTCTAGTCGGGGCTCCCTGGCTTCTACGACCCCTGCGTGGGGGAGGAGAAGAGCCTGAAGGTGCTGTATCAGTTCCGAGGAGTCATGCATCAAGTCCTGTCAGGAGACACAGACCCACTCAGGATACCAAAGCAATGTAAGGCTCTGATAGTGGAACTGATTGTAATCTTGCCCTGATCATGCATTTTATGTACCATGGTCTGTAATTTTATTTCATCCAAAGTACACTGAGGTAACCTCCAGCCTGATTTTTGTTTTTGTTTTCCAGCTCACAGGATTGATGCAGACACATAAAGCTTCCTCCCCTGACCAAAAACACTCATCTCCAGATCGTTGGACGGAAAATGGAGGATCCTATGTTTTAGATACAGCCCCTGGGAATAAGTCTTTGTTACTCAGAAAAAAAAAAGAATTTAACTGTTTGTCTTTATATTCATTTAAATATTGAGGGTGAAGTAAAATCATGACAGACTGAATTGATCAGAACCAGTATCCATGGATGGCGCTGTGGCCAGCTGATTAAATGAATGGTTACTGCTCTAAGTCAGGGTTCTACCCGACTTGGTTTCCATTTATTTATTTTTGCGTGTGGCTTGCAATTTTGAGACAGAGTTCTATGTACTGTACTGTACAAAAACTGCAGTGCCTATATGATTGAAGACAAGCATTTCTGTGTATTTGCCATATGATTAAAATCTTTCTCATGTTGCACAGATTTGCATTAGTTTTGGTGTTGAGTGTTTTTATCCTCACGATTAAACTATATTAAATATTTCATTAGTAGAGTGCGTAAAAACAACATTGGGTTGCAAAAGTATTCACCCCTTTGGCATTTTCTCTCTTTTGCTGCTTTACAATCTTGAATTTAAAAGGATTTGGGGGGACTGTTTCAATTGACACAACATAACCATCACTTGGAAGGTGACAAATATTTTTTATTGGTAAACATAAATAAATAAAAGAATGAAAACCTGAACGTGTATTCACTTCCACCAAATGGCAATAGTTGATGGCACCACAATTTGCAACAAGTCTCTTTAGTTGCATCTTCACAAACTCGCTACGTCTAACTGGACTGTCCATTCATAGCAAAACTGCTCCAGCTCTTTTAAATTGGATTGGTGCAGTTTGTGTTTTAAAGTCAAACCAAAGATGTTCAGTTGGATGGAGGTCTAGGCCTTGACTGGGCCATTGTAGAACTGGTTCTTCTTAAACCACTGGAGTGTTGCTTCAGCAGTGTGTTTAGGTTCGTTGCTGGATCCTGCTGGAAGATGAATCTGTTCCAGTCTTGACCAGGTTTTCCTCGCAATGTGACTCATCACGTCAAATTATCAGGGATTAAGTCAGATTTGGACAAAATTACCTTTTACACAGGGTTTAATTTGTAAACCGATGCAAGAACGTGGATAGTGGTCTGAGGGTGCTCCCCCTGAACATTTAGAATAAAGTAGATGCGATTTCCTGCATTTTGGTGTATTTTAACAGGTTGTTAAACATCTATGGTTATCTACATTTGTAAACACTCCGCTTCTATCCAGCATCCTAACCCACACACACACTTGACGGTTCCAAGTCGACTTCTCCGCTGAATTCACTGTCCGACTCCACATGCCTCCTCAGTCTGTTCATGGCAGCTGCCCATTTACATCTGGTTAGCTTGTTCGGCACTCACTCTTTTAGGGGTGGAGGTTTTTTTTAAAGGTGGAGGCAGAAATGCTATTTGAAGGGGCAGCTTGTATACAGTAGTAAGAAGTCATAAGTGGCTGTTGTGTTTAAAATGAGTGTTTATATAATTATTTTCAGATTACATATCCAGTATAAGTTTTGTTTGTTCAAGGCAGTCATATTTGTCCATAACTATTATTTGTAAGCCTGAGAGTTACCGGATACAAGCAAACACCAGAACACACCCTGTCAAAATAGACTTTCTGGATCCTGTTCCAGCAGGATCCAGCTCAAATTAAGCCCTGCTTTTACAGATTCCTGACCTTTTAATCTACATTTTGATACTTGGATTATCCTAATATTATAAGCGGTTCCAGAAATATGACAATTTGTCTCAATCTGGATGCCCCTGAAAAAGTGGTCTAAATCCTATTTTAGCATTTTCTAAAGGATTTCTTGACGTTGTTTAAAAGAGGAAACCTTAAACCATATTTGGATTTTAAAACTTCCTATTGAAAATAGCAACAAATAAAGACTTTTCAGCCCAGAATCATTGGTGGTGCTGCTAAGACAAGTGCTTCAAAGCATACTATGATTATATTTCAGACCTTTCATTCAATGATGAGGTAATCGTATTTGGACAAAATCTAAATATCACATTTTTATATCTATCTCACAGTACCACTTTGCCACTTAATTCTTGGTTCGGTGTGATGGGACATGCTTTCTTTCTGCCTCATCGATTTTTAACTCTGACCACATCCACCATAGCATGATGCTGCCACCACCATGCTTCATTATGGAGGTGGTAGTGTCAAAATGTTGAGAGGTATTAGGTCTGTGCCACTCTTGGTGATCTTCATGGCCTCATCACCTCCTCCTACATGCCTTTGTAATCTTCCATATGTATTTTAACTGCCTTGTTTTTTGTTGTTGTTGAGCAATACTTTTTCCCCCCCTGATTATTTTTCCGTGATGCTGAGCTTCATGAAACAATTTAATTGTGTTTTGTGAGACGGTGCAATTTATTAATTTTTTTAATATATATAAATAAGCCAGCCCTTATCTGGCCACAACTGTCTGATCTGTCTGGAGAGTTCCTTGGTCTTCATGCTGTTGCTTACTTGGTGTCTTTCCTCTTGGAGGTGTTGGCGCTGATGTTCTGTCAGAATAGATGTCCAGAATATATACCATGATTGTTTGACTCTTAGATCGCCCACAGGTGAATCTTAATTATGTGGCTTCTAATGTTGGGTCTTCAAAACAAAGTGAGTGGAAACTTTCCACTTTTATATGTTGTAAGGCAACAAAACCTAAAGCTTCCAGAGAGTTGAGCACTTTTCCTACTATTAACTGTTCACCATAAACTCGTAGACTCAAACCTCTTCACTCTCAAGTTTTGACTTTAGGTTGCTAATGTATTTGTTTTGTCAGGAAACAGAACTACGTTTGTGCACGTGGCTGAACAGCTGCTGATGGGCAAAGGGCTGAATTAAAATCTAATCTGAGCTCATGGCAGCTGCTGGTGGCACCATGAGTTCTGTGGTCTATTGAATGTTTCACTCCCATTTATTTGTGGGGAAGTCTAGAGCTTTAGATAAAATCTCACAAATAGTTTTTTTTTAATTTACATTTTTGTTCATGCTGAAGATTTGTACACTTTATACGTTCAGGTTGAAACAGTAACTTTCCCCTTCTGGTGCATGATGACACATGCACTGCAGGATGGGCCTTACTGGAAATGACGTCGCTTACTGAACCTAGTCTCTTCTCTGGAATTTGTGGTCTTTTTTTTTTTTTTTTTTTTGCTACACTGGAGTCAGAACATTTACAAACCACTGGATTATGTGCCTTGAAAATGAAGAGGAGAGCCATGGAAAAGCATCAGAGCCTGAACTCAGACAATCAGAGTCGGATCCAAGAGGATCTTTCAACTCTGACTTCTTCAGCTGTGTTCCTCAACTCAGATGTAAGTTTTTTATGAAACTATCAAACCATAACTGTAACAGAAGGGGAAAATATGAGCAGTGAAAAGTTAGGAAGGGACATTTCAAAGTTGGTCCCAGCCAAAGGCATTGCTAGGATGTTGAAACTTGGGGGGCCTAGCTCGCTCCTCAGTTATTGTCAAAACAGTATGACCAAAATAAAGGAGACATAGCTGAAATAAATTATTGTTAAATTAGAAGATTCAAAACTCAGCTCTTGACTCATCAGCAGAAAAACCTGTGATAGCTGTATGGCTTGTGTAACTACTTTATATTTTAATACGATGGGGAGTGGCTAAACATAATGTCCCCGCATGCTTTATCTGTTTTTCAGGATGACAGTTTAGTTTCTCTTTACGTTACGAGCTGCACACCATTTGCAGCCCTGATACAGCTAGCCTGGTGGGTGTGGCTTATCAGCCAAAGCTCCTCCCAGATTCAGCAGCAAAACCACGTTACTGACCTAAACAAAGGTGTTTCGCTGTTTATATCTAAATGTAATAAAGTCTGAATCAGCTGAATGTGATACATTACAGGCTCTGAGTTGAGCAGTAGATGATTTCTGATATTTTGCACACAATCAGCTGATAAATGGCCTGCAGTTAGACCACGCTGATACGTTTTCACAGTTTTAAGGTGACTCCTCCCATCAGCCAATGCTGTTACTTCGTTAGAGGAGTCTCCTCCCATCCCTGCTTAACACCACTTAACCGAGTCATCGTCTGGTTGACTCAAAAGGAACATACCCACAGTTGTTTTTAGTTTAGTTGACATGAAGGTTAGTGCTCATTGTCACATGAATGGAGATGTTTGACCATGGGTGAGAATGCATTTTAAGCTGAAGTTTGAGTTTTACCAGAGAAAAGGAACAACAGTTTCACTTATGTTGTTTAAAACTTCAGATTATTTTAAAATATTTTGAAGGCAAAACTCAAAGCAGATGTTAAAAGCTCTTATTGTGCAGAAGGTTTAGTGAGTTCTGCTGCTGTGGGAGTAATACAGACAGAATGGTGGACTTGTTTAAGAGAATTGTTTTTATTCTGTAGTTTGTCCAGTAAAAGTGTCTTTATCCCTCAGCTGCAATCAAAATTACAAAATGGATGAGATGCAGCAGGGTTTGTGAACACAGTGGGTTCCCTTCTTAAAGTTCAGCCTTGATACAGCTTTTATCTTTTTGACTTTTAGTGTTTTAACTTTAAAACTCATCTACTTAAAAAAAAAAAAAAAAGAAAAGTGTCCAATTTTATTTTATGAGTTGTCCAAATATGTGGTTGTACAATTTGGGTTGAAAAATGGCTAAATGACATCTTGACTGTTCATGTTTAGGCCAAAATTGGACTTTATTTGCTTTAAAGTAAACAAAGATGAATGCAAACAAATGCGTAGACATTATTCATCAATTGGCTATTAGTTGCCTTATAAACAAATCTAAACCAAGTTGTGGCGTTACATTTAGTTTTAGAGGCATCATTCAGTTATGCCATGACTGCAGTTGCATTTCTAAGTAGATGCACGGCAAGCTAAAGAGACATTTATTAGGCTTTGTCACAAACACGTTGATGTAAAACTGAATTCAAGAATTTAGTTTAATGTTTTTAAATTAACTTTTTCTAAATGTGATGCTGCAGAGGAGCCACACGTTCAAAATACCAATCTGTGTTTGTAAGAGGACCTAAGTTTATCAAAAACTTACTTTCACTGACTTATCTTGATTTTAAAATCTGTAATAGATTATAAACCGTAAGAGATTAAGTTTTACTTTTTGTTTTTTAAATATCTCATTGACATTGATTATGAATTATGAGACATGCGTTTATGTCATCCATTTCATTTCTAGGTTAGACGTGAGAAGGTTTATGTTTTATCGCTCGTTGCAGAAGGACCATGTCTGAGTGTCTGATGTGTTAGCAAAAATTCTCATGGATGACCAAACAGGTTTTAATGAAACGTTCATGGGGTAATCACTGAATGTAAGCCTACTGCTAATTGACCTTTGGAGTCAGCCCATTTTAAAATGGCTGCTACAACCAGCTGACTTTAAGAAACAAAAAGGGTAACCACACCAGTTTAACTTATAATGAGCTCAAATCTGATGTAGCAGCTGAGTGTCATCACCAGCACATACAAGATCTTTGTTTAAAACTTTGGTATAAGCTGTCTATCAACATCCTCTGTTAGTTAAGTATCTCATGAACTACTGTGTGAATTTGATTAAAACTCTCACAAAGTAATCATTGCGTGTACAGTTATAACAGATTACCAGCTAATCAACTTGATAACCAGAAAAGGGCTCTAACTCAGTTAATATTACAGACATTAAGCTGAAGTTTGATGTGCTGAGACTCATCCCGAGTAAAATTAGTACAAATGCAACTTGCACGAGGTGTCACATTATTGTGCAAGATCCTCCATAATATAATTTTAAGGTTGGATGAACATGGCTATAACTCATTCAGGAAAATAATGTATGCAAGTATGCAATGTAATGTTATTTGGGGGACAGAATCTCTTAGAATAGTGTGAAATGTCTAATGAGGAGCTGCTTCTAATGATGATTAGCAACATTGAGGAGGATAAATGATTAAAATGACAGAAGGTTGACCACTCTACAGAGAGAAAAATCCTCTGGCCCACTATTAGCTCCCTTCTCAGCATCGATCAACCTCATCCCACTGTCCTCAGCAACAAATGAGTGGTTGATTGAAGAATCAGTCAGAAGAGTGGCCCACATTAACCTCACAGCTGCTCGGATCAGAGGGAACGTCTTCCAGCAAACACCAACCCCCAAAAAAATCCATTTATCTTTAAAATAGCTAGCTAGGATGATTGAGTACCTAAAGGCTATCAGCATCCTCCTAGTGATTCTGAAAATATTATTAAAAGTCCATCCACCCATCCATTATCTTCCATTTGTTCTGAAGTCGGGTCTCGGTGGCAGCAGCTTGAGCAGGGAGGTCCAGACATCTCTTTCCACAGCCACCTCTTCCAGCTCTTCTGGGAGGACCCCAAGGTGTTCCCAGGCCAACCGAGAGACATAGACTCTCCATCGTGTCCTGGGTCTTCCCTGGTGTCTCCTCCCAGTCAGACATGTCCAAAGCACCTCCCTGGGGAGCATCCTTACCAGATGCCTGAACCACCTCAACTGGCTCTCGATGTCGAGGAGCAGCAGTTCTTCTTCTTTCTTTTTTTTAACCTTTATTTTACCAGGAAAGTATTCCATTGAGCTTATTAATCTCATTTACAAGGATGTCTTGGTGGTTCTACTCTGAGTTTATCATGGATAACTGAACTTCTCACCCCATCTCTAAATGAGAGTCCAGCTACCCTGCAGAGGAAACTCGTTTAATCCACAATCTCATTCTTTCAGTCACTACCCAGAGCTTGTGGCCATAGGTGAGGGTAGGAACATAGACGTAAACAAAGAGCTTTGCTTTACAGCTCAGCTCCCTTTTCACCACAATGGACCAGTGCAGAGTTTGCAATACTGCAGATGCTGCACCAATCCATCTGTCAATCTCACGCTCCATTCTTCCTTCACTCATGAACAAAACCCTGAGATACTTGAACTCCTCCACTTGAGGCAGAACCTCACCCTCAACCTGAAGTGTTCAATCCACCCTGTTCTGACTGAGGACCATGGCCTCTGATTTGTAGGTGCTGACTCTCATCCCAGCTGCTTCACACTCAGCTGCAAACCGCTCCAGTGAGATCTGAAGATCACAGCACAATGACGCCAACAGGATCACATCATCTGCAAAGAGCAGAGATGGACTCCTGAGGCTACCGAACTGGAATCCCTCCTCCCCCTGGCTGCACCGAGAAATTCTGTTCATAAAAGTTATGAACAGCATCAGTGACAACAGGCAGCCCTGGCAGAGTCCAACTCTCACCCTGAAGGGGTTCAACTTACTACCAGCAATGCAAACCAAACTCTCGCACCGCTTGTATAGAGACTGAACAGCCCGTAGCAACAGACCCCCAATCCCATACTCACGGAGCACCCTCCACCGTGTATGCCAAGGAACACGGTCAAACGCCTTCTCCAAGTCCACAAAACACATGTAGACTGGATGGGAAAACTCCCATGACCCCTCAAGGACCTTGGTCCAGTGTGCCACGGCCAGGACAGAACCCGCATTGTTCCTCCTGGATCTGAGGTCCAACCGGGACCGGGTGATGTTTGAAAGGGACCATTTCTACTAAATAAATAAATAATTCCATTAAAAATCCCATCATCGTCACATTTATATTGGAACCCTGTGTACACAATCTCGTTCCACCACATGTACCACATGTGGTGTGTATAACAAATAAATCTCTCTGACTCTGAAAAATAAATGAGTGAACGAATAAAAGAAAGAAAGAAAGAATGAATGAATAAATATTTCTGTTGTAGTATGTCTGTGTGTCTATTAATGTGATGTGATGCTGGATATCTGGGTGTTTTTATGTTCTGCAGAACAGGAACCTGCTGTAAAACAGCAAAAATGCTGAGCCGGCCCGATTTCTTTTAATCTTTTCCTGTTTAAAATTTTAAATAGATATCATTGTTGGGAACGTGTGACATAACTTGTCTGAGGACAGTAGCTGCAGAAATAGATCATTGTTGCAAAGTTTTATTTATTTATTTATTTTTTTACAGGATGAAGATGATTTCCAGGTATCTGACAGGGTTTCATAGTATTTAGTAGTAAAAAAGGTGAAAGTCAAGATCCTGGCTGACTCAACACCCCCTCCTCCAGCTAATGCTTGGTGATTTACACCAGCAGCAAAAATGGCCCAAATTTTCCGTCATTTCCAGTCAGGGGCCTCTGCGGATCTAAAACTCACGAGGCCACCAGTCACCACTGCTTCCTTACAATTGCTGTACAACAACAATGCCTCTGTAGGCAACAGTTCCCAGACACTGGATGGAGTTGGTTCTGCTGTTCCCACAGCTGTGACTCATCCTGCTGCTACCAACCTGATGTCAGGGCCAGCTCATGTCACTGTGTGTCTTACACTGAAACTGAGAAACTGTTGAGGCCAT